TAGTTTAGATGGTTGAAAAAAAATTATATTAACATATTCACACAACTCCTTTTTTGTATTAAACATCGGACACTGATTGAGAGCAGGCGTCCTAATTAATTCCATGGCCACAAGTGTTTGACTGTACTTGTCTGAGTGTTTTGTGGCAAGGTTTGGTAGGGGATGGATCATGCTATGGGCTTCTTTTTCAGGAGCTGGGCTTGGCCACTTAGTTCCAATGACAGGAACGTTGAATCCTTTAGCATCCAGAGATAGTGGACAATCCCATGCTTCCAACATTGAGGGAACATTTCAAAAATAGAAAATTTTCCAATAAGTCTGTGCACCATCGCACAAAGCAAAGCCCATAAAGAAATGGAGGAAAGAGTTTTATGTGGATGAAGCTGACATTATGCATGTCTGGTACCGTCCTGGACCAGACCAATGATAGTTGTATCATATGCGAACTATTCCTGACATTTTTAATTGAGAAAGGGTTAGGGTTTTGGAATATCAAATCTGTGTTGTTCAGATTGTCATGAAAAGATCAGATACAGATCGCATATGAGTGAAAAAATGGTATTGGGGTCACTTCAGGCTGCTGTCTGAATATTGCCTAAGGGCTTCTGAAGGTGTTAATGGAAACATATGCATTCTAATTAATAAACAATCCAATTACATGGAGATTTGAAATCCATTCATTCAACTACTGCTCTTTAATTTAATTTTCACCAGGAGGTTTTATATGTGTTCTTTAAGAATATATAATAAAATGCCTCCACTGCACGACCTAGATTAAATAGTTTAGGGATTACTAAATGTTCATTTCAATCAGCTAATGGTGTTATGCTGGTTTAAATGTGGCTGTTTGTGTCAGCACTTTGTTACAAGTTAAGGCTTTAAGACTTTGTAATTTCACTACATGTTAAAATTAAAGCTGTAACAAGGTAGTAAATGTGGCAGAGACTAAACCTCTACACAGATGTAACACTTGGAAATTGCTCATAAAACATTACAAGCCCATATAACCAGAAGCCTGTGATGTCATTATTTTTAATTTTAGTTTAAGACCACCGTTCTGTACTTGTCTTTTATTGTAAATATATGACTAACAGAAAACAGTTAATCTACAGTTTGAAGTGCATAAAATACATGGTTTAATTTAAATTGACTTTGGTCCTTCTAGATCAGTGATGCTTGGATGTGCAAGAAGCTGAAATGCCTACAGTAGCACAGGGCTACCACATTGTGACTGATGGATATGTGAAGGAAGTGAAAGCAGTTTGAAAAACATGATCGGCCAGCTCAGACATCCAGCTGCTGTGGTATTAGTTAATCACAGTCGGTATTCTTTCATCTGAACCCAAAATGTCAAGTTCTGGTTGTCCTATATATCCATGAACTATTGTCTGTACCTGATGACCTTCACTCTCTTGGTTGAGTGATTGTAAGATGCCTTGGATTTTATACATTTTAGTAGTTCTTAATGACTTTCCACCTCTTTACCTAATTAATGAAACAAAACTGGATGTTTTGGATGAACAAAGCAGGATTTCACGTACTTCTCGACTTCTCAATCTGCTTGTCCAGAGTGGTCTGCTATCAGATTTCAAAGCACAGAGGGAGACTGCTTAGTATTAGAACATTGCAGTGTTACCAGGAGCCTTCAAAGGGACTAAACCTGGAGGTGGCAGGTCAAGCTCCCCCTGGTGGCTAAAGGTTACAGTTTGCTTTAAGACATGGGTGGAGGGCAAAGGCTCTCAAAGGACGACAACTCTAAACATACAACCAGAGCTACTGTGGAGTTGTTCGTATCAAATGTTAGAATGTCCCAGTCTAATCTAACAGTGTACGTTGAAGACCCCTGAGCTACATCCAATCTGACTTAGCCTGAACTATTTTACAATGCAAACTCCAATCTGGGTTGTTTGCAATAGTGAATGCAGCAAAATGTGGTAAGAGAATAGCTAGTTTAACTTCTCCCAGCCAGTAGGTGGCGCATTCACTCTCACCTCTCTCGTTCCAACACTTAATTCTACTTTTTGCTTAGCTGTTACCAGTTCCTTCAATACCTTGATGAAAAAAAGGAACATTTGCTTCTTTTTTGCTCTGCAGGTCTAGCGCCCCTAGAGGTCAAAAAGTTACACTTTGTTGTTTGAATGTAGTGTTTGTTTCTATATTTGCCAACACTCTTTACTTCTCTCCTGTCTAGTATCAGTATCCTGATTGGAGCTCCTAAAGCCAACACCAGCCAGCTGAACATTACAGAAGGAGGAGCGGTGTACCAGTGCTCCTGGAGCCAGAATAACTGCCGCGCAGTCAGCTTTGACCAGCAAGGTATGAGGATTTTATTCATGATTTATTTGCCCAATAACTAATAGATGTGTGTTTAGCTCAGACTCTGTAGCCCTGGAGGTAGCTCGCCTGGTTTGAGCCATGCATCTTTGGAGAGGTTGTTTGGTTTCTCCAATATGAAGATCAGAGCATTCCTCTCTGTCTCCGTACAAGATTCTGCTGTCCAACTACACCTCAAGGAGAAAGGACACGCGTTTGAGGACCAGAATGTTCACATTTTGGACAAAGAAGACAGGTGGTTTGAAAGGGGTGTGAAGGAAGGAAGAACCTTAAACAGATAGGGTGGACTCAGGTTTCAGCTCTCGAAAACCTACATCGCAGCAACGGAGCTGATTCCTTCCCGCTATCGTCACAATCCCCATTGCCATGCAGGAGACCAAAATATCTCACCTATTCAGCCAGGCCAACAACGACCCAAACAACTCCCTTTTCAGAGGCATGGACCAGTACCAGGTTTTGTAGGCCAACAACGAGCTATATTTTTTTATTATTAAGGGATGGACCTGTTTTTTGTCCGCCCATGTTTCATCTTTATCATCCTGGTACAGTAGATGGCAGCAGATTTTTTTATAAACAATGTCTCTGTAGATTTTTCCATTAATCTTTCTTTCAATTATTTGAAGTTTGCCAGAACCACATGCTGAAAAACAGCCTCACGCCATGATCATCCCACCTCCAAACTTTCCTGTTGGTATGGTGTATTTTGGGGGATGGGCAGTGCCTTTTGATTTCCAAACATGATGTGTATTATGGCATCCAAAGTGTTCAATTTTTGTCACATCTGAGCAGACTGTATTCTCCCAGTATTTCACAGGCTTGTCTAAATTTTCTTACTTTAAACGAGATTCAACATGTTCTTTCTTCAGCAATGGAGTCTTCTGTGGTGAGCCTGCATACAGGCCATAGCTGTTGAGTGCATTACTTATTGTGATTTAAAATATTTATAAAATTACCGCATGTTGTCCGACAGCAGTGTCTAAATTCACTTGCGCCTTTTCTCCTGTTAATGTGGTAAAGCCCTCCGGAGTGTTCCCAATAGGAAATTCCATTGGGACCAAGTAGCACTAAATTGGTGACTTAGAAACGACGCTGTCAAGGAACGCTATGGACAGCGGAAACATGGAAGAGGAGGAGAGTTTTGTGTCGGAGGTCGTGGATGAGTCTCCTACGTCTCCTTTCAATGGAGCGCTCTCAAAGCTCAGAGTATTAAGTTAAAAGTTCTCTTTTCTGTTGTTCAATAAAAGTACGTTTTAAGATCCTTTGAGGCGAGAACATTATACTTTTACGCACCACTGTATGACCCATTTACCAAATTAATGAGTAATGATTAGTAATGATTTTAAATGAGTAATTTAAAGAAAAGTTCAGAAGTTGAGAGGACCGCGGCAACCAGTGGAGCTCTGAGGCTAACTGCAGCCAGGTCTAAAGTTAGCCCGTCTGCAGCAGCCCTCTCTCTGCATAGCTGTGTGAAGGACCGTTGGCTCTGATGGTTGTTAGGTTTATTCTTTTATACATCATGTGCATTGTTACTTTGTTAGCCAGATAGAGAGAGTAGATGGCCTTCCTTCACATTGTGGATGTCACTTTGTGTAAGGAGGTCATCTAAATAGGACAGCTTTCTTGTCTTTTAAAGATACACAGGATATGGGCACATCTTGGAGCTGGACTGATAGAGGAGAGCTATTTGTAATCCTTGGGCATGGATGGCATGTCAGTTTCTGATACAGACAACTAAGCATCCACCTGCTGCAACACATAGACTCATGAGCTATAAGAAGGAGAAGATGGCCTTGTTTGGGGCTCAAACTTTGCCGGACATGATTTTTTGAGCCCACAGCTGTGCAAACTCCAAGCATTTTCTCTGTCCTGTAACAACCTGATCTGGAATAAACTCTGTTACTTTTTTAATCCTGTTTTTATAGTCCTTTTTTATGTGGTTTCACCCAGTTTGAGTTAAGAGTAGTAAGTAACTTGCTCCCAGGAAAAGAACCGGTGGGGAAGTCCCGAGGCGCAACTGCTTTTTAGGGGACATACCTTCCTCATTTTAACATGGTGATTTTTTATTTATTTTTTGACAAAATGTTCATGTAATTTGTGTTTATCTGACTGTGTTCATTATCATTTCCCCACTTAATGAAAAAAGTAAGATTTATTATTATCTAGAGACTATTAATAACAGGAGGTGAAATGCAGCTCCAGATGAGTCGAGCATGTGGTGATGTCACAGGTACGCTTCTGTTCCAATTGACCCAGATTTATTCTGCGTGCTCCCGTTCTCACCAGGTCCGGACTTTCCTGTGTTCTTCTCAAGAAAATACTTGGCAAGGACATGGCCAACAATTCTCCCCACTATACACCTGTAACGCTTACCACTACTCTGCAAAGACCATTGTTTCAACCATTGCATATATACAGTAATTATTATGTATTAGGCCTGGGCAGCAAAGGGCTGCGAAGGCCTATTTGTTATTATTTTTTTACAGTGTCCTGTCTGGTGATGTGGCAATAAGAATAATTGTCTTGATGCCAAAAAGAGCCCAACTGATTTTGCTTTCACAAGTGGAGCAGTACGGCTATCGCCATAGTGTTCCGCTTGATCTATGCATATAGCTTTATTATAATTCATGCAGGAAGTATTAGAGATTTTATGGACACTGCAATTTAAGTAGAACAGGAAAGGAAAATAAAAAAAGGAGAAAAGATGAAAGAAAGAGAAGATAAAATGGAGATAACGATAAAACATCTTCAGTCTGCTTCAGCACCTGCAAAGGGATGTAAAAAGAACAGCACAACCAACGGATATAGTATAAGAGATACAATAAAGTAGCACCTTGATACTATCGCTGAATTATAAGTAGTATTATTTAATCGGACATGTATAATGTGGTAAATGAAGATAAGAATATGGGCTTTCTGTATGGAAGTGAATCTCTAAATAGCCGGAGCCAAGCACCTGTAGTCGTTTGCTAGAGTGCACTTGGGCATATAAGGTTTATCCAAAGGAAAAATGCTCAATAGTGGTTGTGAAGAGCCAAAGACCCGGTGAGCGCCGGGGGACCCAAAGCCCCAGATTTTTTTTTTGATAAAAATTTTCTAAATTTTAGGACAATATCATCTGATAAACAAAACATTTATATACATGTTTAAACCACAATGATTTCACATTTAGATATGATTTCCCTGCGACTTGAAAGCTTCAATGTATAACATGGATGCATAAAACCTTTCAGTATTTCAGTGTTAAATTCTGTTTAAAGTAACAGATTATAATTAAAAATGTCTCTGGACCTTTACTGGTTTTTGATTTTCTTTATTCGGACCCCAATGATTTTCAATTAGTTACCCCTGGCATAGAGCCTTCAACGGCAGACACCTAATAATTCCTAAATCCCAACCCAACTCCGGACATGGTAATAGAGGTTATCAACACATTTATGTTATTTTAGAAGTTAGTTTTTTTCCTCCTTGCCCCCATGTGTTTAAACAGTTCAAAGTTACAAAGTTAGGAAAAGGCTGGGAGAATAATCGCTGAATCAGCAACACAGGAAGCGAGGGGGACCAGCGTTTAAGGATCAGATGATGTAATCTTTTCTAAGCATGCAGTTTACACAGAACAAGCGCAAACCCAGCGTACATAATTATCCGCCCAAAAACTGTTTACAAACACAGGCTTTCTGTGCAACTCTAAAGGAGGTTTGGACATTAACAAGGTTTGAATTTCTGCTCCCTTGGAGATTCCTGCTGCTTTTTTGAATTCAGGCTTCGTTATATGACCCAGGAAACTGCTATAGTTTCACAATCTCCTGAAACCCTCACTTTGGTCTGATGCAAGTCCTTTCTGCAGAATGTTTTTCTTGATGCAATGTTTTGGGGGAGATGGAATTTTAATCAAGTTGCTTAATTTCATATCTTTGTCCGGGACCTTCCTACATGTATTCCCAGGGATTATTGTTCCTGCATTACTGCCAGGGCCTCTTCTAAAAACAGATCCTGACAGTGGAGAGCAACCATTTGGGTTGCATGAACCACATGGTTTCTTCAAGAGGCTTTTTAAGCTGTTTGATGTCACAGAAACTAGATTAAAGCTGCAGAACCCTGGAAAAGAGCCATAAAATATCCATGTAAAAAGTCAACAACACATGGGGAACACTGACACAAAGCAATGACATGGTTACTAAACTAGAGAGCAGCCTACATCTCGCTAGCAATTAAAAGAGGAACAAAAAGTCTGAAAATGTTACATTTAATTACCTTTTTATGTGCATGTTAAACATTAAATAAAAATGAGCCAAAACCGCCTAGTTAATATGAAAACACTGGTGGCGCAATCATTTGTACCTCAGAAATAAATGAAGCTAAATTGTCTCTGAATTTCTATTTTTCTTTTCAGTGTTTTTAGTCTCATCCCTGCTGCGCATAAGGCCATCGCAATACACAGATCCTCCAAAGACTCCTCCAAATCTGGACTATCCTTCGCTGCCCATGATTTAGTGTAGGCAGAAAGAATTTATCAAATTCTGATAGCATTGGCGGATGATGAAGGAAAAAAATAGTGAATAAAAATTTAAATACTGTGCTTTCTAGGATCCCCAAATAAACTTTTAAGATATTTTTAACTGCGAATGTAGGTTTGTTGAACTCAAATATCACCTCAGTTTATTAGGATGCTACTAAATTAAAAAGGAGGTTTTTAGAGGGTGTTTTCCCATCCATCTCCATGGGAAGGTGCCTTATTCCCAGGTCTCTGCGTTGAAAGTACCGCTGGTTTAAACTGCGATATAAAGCCTAGGCGGAAGTTGAAATGAAGAAACTGATTACTTACCCTCATCCGCCTCCGGAAAATAGCCAATCAGCTTTTAACCACACCTCCACGAAAGCCCAATTAGCATTCAGAGTTCATCTTAAAAGGTCTCCAAGTCCACAACTCAGTCTGTAACCCAAGCGCAGGCAGTGGTTGCGATATGATGTCTGGCTTTGACTAAGATGACACCGATTCAACCCACCTCCATCCCCTTATCCATCATCGTAGCTAAGCTTAATCAGAGTGTGATTCCTCCCGGACTCTTACTGCGGAGGTCTTCAACAGGGGGTCCGCGACCCCTAGGGGGGTCACTGCATGGGTGTTATGAAAGTTTTGGTTGATTAGACTTTTTTATATTCCCCCCTGCAATTTTTTCCACTAATGGAAATGTCTTTAAATACACATTAACATTAATTCAGCACGCTGTAGCTACGGTCCTCTCCAATTGGGAATTTTGTTATATAAACTACGCAATAAATTGGTAAATAGTGACATTTAAAAGTATAATGTTCTGGCCTAAACTGATCTTAAAATGTACTTTTATAGAACAACGGCAACAGAAAGAGAACTTTTAACTTAATAGCTCTGTTAGCCCTCTATTGAAAGCTGCTGCTGCCACAGTGCATGCTGGGAAAGGGTCAATCTCAAGAACGGACAAGTCTGCTCTGATGCATGCTGGGTAAAGAGGGAGGGGTGAGAACAACATGCAGGGACTTTGTACGTTTTCTGTCTTCTGTTCTTGTGAATTGGACAGAGATGGGAAATGTGGAGTCAACAAGTCATCTCCATGTCATGTATTTGTTCTACCCAGCCACTGAAGCAGGTGAGTCCAATCTTTACCGTGAATCAACCTGTGCAGATTGGACTCACCTGGTTAATGGGTTCGGGGGATTAAATACATGACATGGAGATGAATTGTTGACTCCACATCCCATCTCTGGAATTGGAACAGTACTAGGGCCGAGGCTGATGACATTTCACAACTACACGAGAAGACACAAGTACACATATTGAGAAACGGCCCCAGACAGGTTGGATAAGTGGGAAAATGATCTCTAAGGTGGAGGATCTAAAAGCCCTGGGGAAGTTTTTTCTCAGAGTACATTGCATTATAAACTCTTAGAAATTCTGGGAGGGTTTAGACCCAAATCTAGCGGATTCTGCCATTTGATTGAAAATAGCTCATCACTGGGACCATCAGCAGGGTATTGATTATAAAAAACATATGGCAGGATGAACATAGAAACAAGATCAAGAGTTCTCTCAGGTCATTTAATTTCCTAGACTTAAATCCTTGAAGGTAGAACCAGACCTGGAGGATTTAGAAAGTTTTTTCAAGTGAAAAGCTGAAGGTCCTCCTCTCTATGATCTCCAAAGTTGTTACTTCCCTTGGGAATGAGAAAGAGCAGTGCTGCCCCGATGACTGTGATGTTGTCAGCAGGGCTGACAATAATTACACCGCTGGTGATTTACTGAAGAGTAATTACTGATTAATACAACTTGAAATTAAATAAGTCCAAATATGAACTGAATCTTGAACAGATTTTACAGAGTAAAATGATTTTACTGCAGGAAAAGTTGAACTTAGAGTTTAGGGTTACGTTATAACAGGCTCATAAGTGGCATATTTGGTAGCATCGCTGCCTTGAAGGTTATTGATTTGATTCCCGGCCTGGAGTCTTTCTGCATGGAGTTTGTATGTTCTCCCTGGGCATGCGTGGGTTCTCTCTGGTTACTCTGGATTCCTCCCACAGTCCAAAAACATGACTGTTAGGTTAATTGGCTTCTCTAAATTCTCCTTAGGTGTGATTGTGTGCGTGAATGGTTGTTTGTCCTGTTTCTCTCTGTGTTGCCCTGTGATGGACTGGTGACCTGTCCAGGTCTACGGGCCTCTCGCCCGTAGACAGCTGGAGATACAGTAGGAACCAGCACCCCGCGTGACAGAAAATGGATGGATGGCTAAATTGTAACCAGCACACCTGACCAACTTTATTTCTCCATGTTTCTGCAGGTGACCGATATTTCTACATAAATGATGTGAACACTCAAGTTGAGTTCAAGTCCCATCAGTGGTTTGGAGCTGTTGTGCGTTCCCATGGTAGCAGCATCCTGGTAAGACTAGTTATCTAGCAGTTGTTACTGTTGGATTGGAAACATATAATCAAAGTTAATTTGAGTTTTTCTTTATTGAATATATTCCAGAGAAGAGATTTTTCCTTTTGTGGTTACTTTATGTTTTTTATATTGCGTAAATTCTCTAAACTCGACACTAAAGAAGTTTTTATCTAACATATTATTACATTGCGTTTTTTTTTTAAATCCCAAAAAGCACTATGTCATAAAATCTTGTTTGAACCAACTCATTCAGTGTTTTTATGACTTTTTAAATTTTCTCTGACCTCCTGCTCGTCTAAACTTTAAGTTTGTCAGAATGTGGCGACGCCCTTTTATCCTCCAGGTTTTTGAAAATGACGCAAATAGATATTATAGACAATTCATTTCAGTTTTTTCTATAGCGCCAATTCACAACACATGTCAGCTCAAGGCACTTTACAGTTCACCAGATTACTACCTGCTTTATCATGTTCTTTTTTTAATTATTTGAATTGTTTATTTGGCAATAAAATTGTCTTGCCTGTCAAAAAAATATTTGGAAACTTGTCCAAGAGAGATATTTCTCAGTTGGGTCATCTTTTCACAATTCATGGATGAAATTGAAAAACCACAATGATTTTTATTTAACAAATTTTTGCCTGTTGCTAAAATCAAACAAATGTTCTTTCATTTAGGCTAATTTTCTCTTTGAATAGCCAATTACATTTGTTACATAATACTATCAACCTAAAATCAAGTGCTTATCTGATCATTCAAATAACCTTTTAAAAGTAATTATTCATTTATTAAAGCCTGATCGGCATTGGAGTCACATTTTGACAAATTTCTTTTAGCAATCATCTTTTATATATTTATGCTCAAATAAAATTAAATTCATTTCAGTTTACTTCTATAGCACCAATTCACAACACATGTCATCTCAAGGCTCTTTCCAGTTCACCAGATTACTACCTGCTTTATCATGTTCTTTTTTTAATTATATTTGAATTGTTTATTTGGCAATAAAATTGTCTTGCTTGATCTCAGCTCAAAACCTATTTACAGGGGTTTAGGCTCTAGAGCAGGATCTTTTGTTGTAATGATCTGCTGCAGTGGTTTCCCCCATCAGTCCTGACTAAATTAGAAAGAGCACAGCCTCCTAAGATCTCCTATTGGAGTGTTTCTAATTATAACTTCATTAAGCAAAGATAAAAAATGGAGCCCTGACAAATGCTGCTGATTTTGTTAGCATCATGGGAGCACTAACATAAACTGATGACAGTCTTCCAATGGAGCAGCCTGAAATGACGCTGTATCCATAATGGAAAAGAAGATTCACGCTCTATATTTTCTTATCTCTACCTGTAGAGCAGCAAGCATTCTGTACTTTACTGGAGCAGCTTAATAACTCAAAGAAGCTAAACTATTTTTTGTGAATATTGTATCTTTGGGGTGTACTTTCCCAACTACTGTAAGAGAAAATTCCCATGAAATGATATTAGGAAATGATTTTATTTAACCTAAAACTCAAGACTTTGGAAGGCATTTCTTCACGAGCATGTCGTGATTCTGTAAGAATCTAGTCCCTCCCACTTCTCGTTTCCTTTTGGGCTCCGACTCTGAAACCAACCTACCGAGTATTACCCTGTTAGAGTTCTTTAAAGGTCCTTCTGATTGTCTCCTTCCCAAAGCCACATCCTTTCCAACAACTCAGTCAGGTATTCTAGCATCCAGGGACTTCCTGCTTTCACCTGTCACTTTATTTAACAACAATTTTCTGCCCTTTCAATGGTTGTTAATCTAGGTCATTCATTTTTAATGACAAGCCTAGTCCCAATTCATTTTTTAAAAATGGTTTAGCTACGGAAAAATCTGCTAAGACCTTAAGGTATGCTTAAAAACCCCGCCCGAATATGTGCTTTACACCATTGAATAACTTACCCTTAAAGGAGAAGTCCGATCAGCAAGGAATGATCAATAGATCATTATTTATACATAAAAAGAATAAGTTCGCTGTGATTTAATGAATTTAGCGTTAATCAGTAAGAAAATAAAAACAATAATTTTCATCGCAATCACTGTGTCCAGGAGTGGCCATTTTTGCCCAAATATAGTAACCCCTCCCTCCTGCCATCTTCCAGCAGTGACGTCACGGTGCGGTAAGCCTAGCGCCATTCTCCCCGCTTTACAAGCAAAATCAATGGGAACTACTAGACACATCTGCAATCAACAACAATTATTGAAGATTTCCAGAGGACTTCACCATTGAAATTCACCAGAGCTATAGTTAAACTGACAATGCCCACATGCATGGTAGCTGGATGATATAATACAAGTTATTTCACCTAAGAATGTTGCAGATTGTTTTACACATTTGTATTATATTGAACTGAACTTCCATTATTCACCACTGTTCGTCGCCAAGTACCCGTTACCTCTGATCACGGAGGAGCCGCCTTGCTTGGACTTTCAATGAATCCTGGGATATCCAAGGCTACGTAGGATACAACAGACCCCTCCTTCAAAATGGGCGAAAAGAAGGACGCATTTCTAGGAGTCTTGGAATCCGACCAGACCTCGGCGCGGTGCTATGACTTAATCGTCCTACGAATCTGGCCTTCGGAGGACGCAGCCCATGAATTCGAATTCTGCTGTTGTACCAATGAATGAGTTTAAGTGTTAAGATGTTTTTCTCACCAAAAAATCAACACTTAGTGTTCCCCAGTGTATTCTAAGTTTATGTTTTGTATTCTAATATTTGTATAAGTTATAGTTTTCATGGTGACTGATGTAACTGTGTTGACTATGATGAGGTTCTTCAAATAAAATAAAACGTTAAATTCAACCGTCGACACTGGCTGAGTAATTCAAGTTCTGGGGAGCTGTTAATTTTTTTTTTTTTTTTACCTGAAGTGTAACCTATTTTTATCTGCCTGTTAGCAATGCCCAGCTTTATTTTTTTACTTTCCCATATTGGGTTTCATTAAAGGAAAAACCTCATCGTCTTCCTCCCCTCTTGTCATCTCCAGGCTTGTGCTCCCAGGTATTACTGGAGGACAGAACATGAAACACCTTTTTCTGACATTACAGGAACCTGCTACCTCTCTGTTGATGGTCTCAGAACCTTTGTGGAGTACGCCCCATGCAGAACAGGTGAGCTGCTGGATGGATGTCACTGCTATTTACAGACACTCCCAGGTTTACCTGCTTTATTGCAAAACTAACATTGGGTGCTGTGTTTATGTGTTCCTCTCTGCAGAAAGACATGGCCCTGCTGGACAGGGCTATTGTCAGGGTGGATTCAGCGCTGATTTTACCAAGGTAAGGAAATTCTATGCTGGACTATTCACCTTACATCACAGGGTCTCTGCTGTGTTTTTAAGGTAATGCCTTCAAGATGTAGATTGGCTTGGAAAGGTATTACATAGCTTTATTGGGATCTGTTATGAGCACAACTAGTTAGAGGTGCAAGAAATAAATTGCTATATTTCTAGAGGTGCTATTGACATGACATTTTCACCAGATGTCGGCAATAATCCATGCAATCCACACATACAAAGAAATCAAACCATAGATGTCCAGAAATTAAGTTATGTGTAATAAAGTGAAATGGCACAGAGTAAAGAAAGGGAGGTGAAGAAAGGGAGGTGCAAAAAGGAATGGAAAGCCAAGACAACAGATAAAATCTCTCAGTAATTACAGTAGAAAGCAATCATACCCCTTTTCAGTGCAAATGAATATCAGGTGGTTCAATCCCAATTGATTCTATAAAAAAGTTTCTCTGGTAACACACAAGAAATATCTCATGATGACTAAAAGTAAAGAGCTTTCTCTAGACCTTTGCTACCTTAAAGTCGTAGGGAAGCGGCTGTTCCAACCGTTGCACTTCAGGTTTCCGATTACGCAAGTTTTCTTTTTGCAAAGGCATTTTTGTATTTACGTTTCTTTAAACGTATTACTGTCATGTTTTGACCCAGTCAAAAGAGAAACAATGTTTGCAATTTGTGGTACAGTGGGAGAGAAGTGAAAATAAGTCTGAGTCCTGTGTTCTGTCAGATCAGCATACCTACAGTCTATACGCATGCGCAAGACCTCAGATTTGCATTTATTCCTTTAGTTTTGTATGAAACATAGACTTTAAACTACCTCAACAGGCATGTATCCCTTTAGTCATGTACAAAAAAAAACTATTTAAGGTGATATCGGCATAGGGTTAAAAAAAAACACCAAAAAGTAATTAATTAAATAGTTTTTTTGTACATGACTAAATGGATACATGCCTATTGAGGTAGTTAAAAGTCTATTTTTCATACAAAACTAAAGTGATAAACTAAAGGATAAACAGGTTTTGACTATGGGTATGCTGGTCTGACAGAACACTGGCACAATTCACAATGTCTCTGCCGCTTGAAAACCCAAAACTTCAAACTTTTCCTTGGAGTTCCTTTATTCTTTTTTATTCCAGAATGTTCTTTAGCAAACATCCAGAAAAAGGCCACAAATAAAAATTGCAAGTAGGCCTATAATAATTATAGTTTTTATTTTAATTTTTGGAAGCAGAGTAAAAGGGGTTGACCACTAAAGGGCTGGTTATACTCCCGCAGCAGTATGTTGCAATTAGCTTGTCACAGGTATGAACTTTGAAGCGTGGTCTGCGCTGTGTTATTCCACGCCACAACGCAACAGGGACAATCAGGAACTGGCTGTGGGTCTAGATACGGCCGAGGCGGTGAGGAAGTGATTGCCAGTTTGTGCGAAAACGGAGGGTCATGAGGGCCAAAAACACCAGGGATCCAGGTGGAAAAAGGATGCCAGCGGACGCCAATAGACGTTCGGTAGAAAGTAGTTCGGTAGAAGGGGCAGAAAACACTATATGTTGCTCCATCACATAAAATCCCAATAAAAAAGTTTGTAACAAAGATGACGTTGAAAAATGCTTTCAGAATCTTTTACAAGGCAGTGGAGAAAGTTTGTAGAAACACATTGGAGGAAACTAGAGATGCAATGATTCTTCTGCTCTGCTACTGTTTGTTACAGGATGGACGGGTTGTTCTTGGAGGGCCTGGTAGCTTTTACTGGCAAGGTAAGCTGAGTGGAGTGAGAAGCAGCTTGGAAGCCCTTTGTTTCCCCTTTAGAGAGGAAAATCAATCAGTACCTAAACCTAAAAAAAGGCAAATGTCCTTTAACCTCCTACAGGTCAGCTGATCTCAGCTACCACAGAGGAGATTGTTAAGGCGTATTATCCCTCCTACTTCCTGCTGTCGGTCGCCGGGCAGATTCAGACCCAGCAGGTCCAGGGGAGCTATGATGACAGTTATCTTGGTAAATATTTGAGTCAAACTAGACATCAACAAAAGGTTTGGGTGATTATCTGCATTTAGTCAGGCATGAGGAAATCTTCAAATGTCCTTCTGACCTTTAGCTCTAAATCCAACATTTTACTGTGCTTTAAGTACATCCCTGACCCCGAGAGGATGCAGTCCTTCCACTAAGAATGCACCGCCCTGACAAATACTCAACTTTGTGAACACAAAATCTGCCTCAAAATGAATTTCACAATTTCACACGCAGCGGGACCTTTCCTCTAGTTCTCCAATCAGTATAACTCCTGACATCCCCGGTGATCATTTATGTCACAATCTAGTGGGCAGGCTTCCACTCAGATGTCCTCCACCCTGATGAGTAACACTGCTGGATAAACTCTTCTAATGAACAATGTTGATGGTTTGAGGTCAGAAGTTCAAAATCCCATCACTGGAAAAATCCAAATCTAGATCAGTGATTTTTTCTTAAAATAAGTGCATTTGTTCTTGGATTGAGGAAGTAAAAGTGACATTTTGCCAATGGAACAAGACAATTTACATTTAAAATAAGGATATACAATTGCACTGCCTTATTTTAAGTGCATATTATGTAATTATCTTATTTTAAGAGTAAAAAAACTCATTCGTTTGGCAAACTATTTCATTTTCCTACTTAAAATAAGGGTAAATACACTTAATCTAAGAAATGTTTAATTATTTCTAGATCATTTTCCCAGTGCAACTTATGTTCCATCGTTGTAACAAGCTTAGAATGTTTAATGAATGGAAAGTGATCCAGTACTGCTGGCTGTAATTATGGTCCTTTCTTAAACAATTAAAATCATCAGCAATTGGTGCTTAAATGGATGCAAAGTTTTGCCTAAAGCCACTGTCTCATTAATGCGTCTCCAACTCCTTCCTTTGTCTTCTGTCTGCCTTTGCTCTCCACCTCTCCTGCAGGTTATTCTGTGACCAGTGGCGAGTTCAGTGGTGACGAAGAGGAAGGTGAGGGTCATATTTACAGTACAGAGAGCCAGAGCGCTTGACTGAGCACAGATGACAACACACATGTTTATATTGCTATGGTAAAGGATTATTAAGTCTTTCATGAAGCAGGAGCATGAATTAATGCCTTTCTGTTTGCAGATTTCATCACAGGAGTTCCTAAAGGACTAATGCTGCATGGTTTAGTAAGGAAGTTCCACATGTTTTTGATGTAACAGTTAAAGTTATTGGGAAGGATTTTCCTAAATTTTTTAAAAGACCTGCCCTCTCCACTTAAAAAAAAAATAAAAAATGCACATGCACAACCCTGTACCCGCTCG